AATATTATTTTTGTTGGTTCCTTAGCATGTACTGCAGTACTGCATTACAGATGTGATAGCAGATAAACCGATACAATCTGTGCCCAGTTTGCCAATATTCTCTAGTAAACTCGGTGGAATTGAATTTCGGCCGAGTTGCCGGAGTTGCCGGAGTCGGGGCCCCCAGCACTGTCAAAAGTTGAAAACCAGGTTTCTGTATAGACCCTATTTTTACACGGGGGGTTTCCGCCTGCAACCGGGTTTCTGAATAGAATTATCCCTCTGGATCTGGTGCAAATGAAACCGACGCCTCGTACCTTCATGAAGATGAAAAGAAAATTGGTGAAAACGGTGGAGGGGCAATGGAATACTCCTCCGAGCGAATCAAGCCATTTGGTGCTCGAGAACTCTTGTTCTGCCGAGCCGATCCCCCTGTGGTCTTCCAGGAGCATCAATAATACATATGAAATCATTCTAATGGGAAGAAATCGAAGAAATCGAAGGGGAACACAGGATTGATGTTCAAAGGGGAAGTGGCGGAGTTTGAATTGATCTGATGTCTATGGTCTGCCTGCTCTCGCTGCTATTTCTCAGCGTCGACGTCGACCCGCTGCGCTATGCCACCTAAACCGCGGCTAGTTGTGCTCATGCGCGATCCGGAACACCACGCCTTGGAAAATAGCTGTCGTCGCCTGAGGGTATATTTTCGAGCTCCGGCAGGATAAGCGACGCCGTTTGGACAGAGGTAAAGGACTGCAGCTTCGGAAGCGCCGAGGACGACAGGGAATGCGATACAATCCGGGAAAGGATGGTGAGCTATCGCGCATGATATCCTCAATTTAGAAAGTCGGGACAGAAAAAAAATGCAGTCAGGGACACATCAGGCAAGGTCTGGGTTCTCGCAGGGTATGCTTGGATCGTCCTTGCAAGGTGTCATTCTCTGACGGATAGAATGGGCTCAGTTTACCGCTCATGTTTAACGAGTGGTTCATCGAGACATTCCCGGAGCCGTCTGCGTGGCTCGTGAGTTGGCTGGTGTACGGGCGCACCGCAGCGGTGATGTCCATGGTCGGCTTTATCTTGGGGTGTGTTGAGATATTGAGATTCGAGTGTGATACTGGCGGCTCTTGGAACGGCTTCACATATTCTCCCGCGTCCTCGGTCGCTTCTTCCTCGCGTCCTCGGTCGTTCCTTCCTCGAGGATGATTTCCATGGATCTAATGGCCAATGGGAGCCGATGATTCCAAGGTATGTCTGCCTTGATTCCCTCATTTTGCCGTATGATGCTGATTGCTACGTGTGTCGCACTCAGCGACGTCCCACTCTAACATGTCCAGCTTCACCATATCTAGCGACTGCAGCGGAGAAAGTGCAGAAATCGTGAAATTCACGTTCAAGCAATCCTTCTCAGTCCGCTTCTCCTACCTTGCACCGCTCCTCCGCTCCCCTCTTTCCCTCTTCACGCTCTACCTTACCTTGTGCATTCGGATTTTTTCTTTCGATTTTTTCGTTTCCTAGTTTATAGCTTTATCACGTAATTTTGTTACGGACCCTCGTGCCAGCTCGACTCCCACTCGAATTCGTTTTTTTTCCCTTCCACAAATATCAGGTACTTATTGGACAAATAAAGTTAAGAAAATCGATGGAATGAACTGACGAAAGCCGAGTTAATTGATTAAGTGATGATTATCGTGATCATCAGGCAGAGTTCGAAAGGCTCCAATTCGGACACATGCTTCACCTCTTCCCGCTCTTACTTGATCTTGCCCTAGTTTTGGTTCTGAAGTGGACTGCATGTCGCTCCTTCCCTGACTAGACTTCATGTCGGCCTTTGCCCCCGCTCATGGATGTTGACGCCGTGCGGGCAGACTTACATGTCACCTCCTCCGGATCTGCTCCCTCTAGTTCTCCTGCCAGATTTTCATGTCGGCCCTTACTGCTTCTTTGTATATGATGGCTGCACTGGGTTCCGCATGTCCACATGTCAACGACGGCCTATGGGTCGGCTTGAGTCGTCCAAATAGTAATCCCGCCCGGGGTTTAACAACCCGTCTAGTAACCTGTGTGGCTGCTGAGTAGTAGTACAAGACAAACAGCTTCCTCGTTCGGTCCTGGGTGTAGGGCCACGAGCGTCGTGCAGGTGGGAACTGGTAGGAGCCGAAGACAGAGTGATATCCGCTGAGGAAGACAATGCGAGCTCGTATGTAGCGTCATATGTAATGCCACAGGTGAGAATCCAGCATCCCTCATAATCCTGAGGGAACAAGAGTCAAGCAAAAGTAAAGCCTGAGATTACATGAGGTAGAATCTAAAGTACAGGAGTGTCTACCTCGGGTTATATACTAATATAACTAGGAGTCCAATCGTATCAACCCTATGTGTTATGTTTCAATATACCCTATGTGAGGTGTAAAGGAATATTGTTGAAACCGGAGAGGGGTTCGAGCACAAGTTGTCGGAGTATCGCGATCACGTGTTATCCTGTCGCTCGGGATTTGATGGTTAGCCAGAGAATGTATAGGCGACCAGGATGTGATCGCGAGTTGTCGGGATATCGAGGTCACGTGTCGTCCGTCTTTAGGGATTTGGTGTTATGTGTGACTTGTTGCGACGCGGTCGCGGGATAATGTGTTCCCGTGATGGCGGTCTGAACCAGTGTTCAAGGTTTGAAAAGCCGGATCATGACACCACAGCATGCCGTCATTCATCACTTAATCAATTTTGAGCGTTCAGGAGGTACATGATGATGATGATGATGTTTTCTCTGCGCCCCTAGACTGATGGCAGTGAATATGCGCTAGCTTCCTGTACACCTGTGTTGCGTTTCGGGTGCCAGGTGCACTCACTGGTTGCCAAATCCAGCTCCAGCATGTCCAAAACAATGCCCGGCGCAGGTAGGTCGATTTCTTTATTAAAAATGTCACTGCCCTCGAGCTGACGACGTTGAAGATGGGGTAGGCTTCCTAGATCTAGCAGCTTCTGTGCTTTTTTCGACTCTTCAACGCTCAGACTTGATTCACCCAGATTGGAGATAGATTCCTCATTGAATTTGCCGCCCATGTTGAACATGGACGAAATGTAGCTGCACTGCTGCTGAGCATTGAACACGATTAAATGAGGGGAGCAGCAGCACCCAGTCGCACAAGGTGTGCATCTGCTCCCACTAATGGCAAAATTAGCAGTTCTCCTGCAGAAGGCCCCCGTTCCACTCGGGGCCGGGTGATAATTATGTGCGCGTATTTTTGTTCCATTTGGTCTCTCGATGTCTCTGGCAGCTTCAAGTTGTGTCTTGTCCTTCGACTCTTCAACGCCCTCGCTCGGATCGGGAATAAATTCCTCGTCGAATTTGGGACAGATGTTGAAACATGTACAAAATGCAGCTGCACTGCTGCGGGACACTCAACCCCATTCCGCCGCCGCTGTGGGAGGGAGGATACCACCCTGTAGCACATGGTGTGCATCTGCTCTGTAAGAGAAACCGGTATCGCGCGGGATACGGATAAGTGAGCACGTGCAGTAGTAGCACGTGTTAGAGTTGAGAGCAGCGTTGGTTTTACACAAATGCAACACAGATATCTATGAGCGAGAATATAGGATCGGAACCCTTATATAATCGGTAAACACAGGGGACTTTCACCAATGAGATACCGTGCTGGTATCTAGACTTGTGCTGCTAGTTGATAAAAGCAGGGTAATAGTGCGCTCTTAGGAGTCACTAATAGGTCACAGCAAGCTCTTAGAAGTTGCTAGTGGTTCACGTAATAGAATAGTAGTCTCTTAGGAGCTACTAGGGTTCACGCAAGGGTGTGTGTAAGTTCACAGGTAAGTGTATTGGCAAAGATGTAAGATGCCTTCACAAGAGGGAAGGCTCCCCTTATATACTACTGTAGTGAGTCATAATTGAACTGAGTCATATTTAGGATGACTCGGGAAGTCGGAGAGACATAGCCTTGCATAGCCTAGCGGATGCGAGGCATGACTCCGAAGTTGCGTGAACCGTGAGAGTAATAGAACAAATCAGGACCAACAAGCGCCGTGAATTACAGAGGGCACAGTGACGCGAGGTTAACTACATGGAGGCTAATAATAAATATGGAAATTCGAAACTAGAAGTCATATCCATCACATGCTCCCACTAGTTGGAAAATTCCAAGTTCTGCTGCAGAAGGCCCTTCGAAGCCCCTTTTGTTTCCTCCAAGCTTCTGCCCCGCCCATCAAGCAGCAAAACTCCATGCACACCCACCCCATGACTTTTTAATCCCGGTTACAGGCCAACTTTGGGAATTCTAGCCCCGATCTTCAACCTGCGTCTGAATCAGCTGAGTACATCCACATCTTCAGGGGAGGAGTAACATCTGGCAGCACACGGTGTGAATCTGCTCCACTAGTCGGTGCAGTTTGCATGATGCATGCAGGAGGCCCCCGTTCGACCCGGGGTCGGGGGATTCATTCTTCTGCAGCCGACCTTTTCTTTCAGGCTCTCCTTCAGGCTTCCCTGCCGCCCACCAAGCTCACTTTCGCAACCACTCACAAGTCTAATCCCCTCGTACACCGCTCCTCACAGTACCCTGTTGAGTTTGTTAACCCCAACCACGATCTTCAACCCGAGTCTGACTCAGCAAGGTATCAGACACGTCGGAAAAGGAGGAGTAATACCCGGTCGCACATGGTGTGCGTCTGCCCGCCTTGAAGCTTGGATTCGTCGTTACACGTGCGCAGAAGACCCCCGTTCGACTCGGGGCTGGGTGATGGACCTGTACCCGTCTGCTTCGTCCCGCTCGCTTCCTTGCTCCCTTGCTCCCTGGCTCGCTGTGCGTAACTCTTGAAACTCGAAGCCCAGGACGCTAAATCAAAACCGAAATTCCCCGCAAACAGTTGATGTTGAATTTACAGGGTCCTTCTGCTGATCTTTGACAGAATCCGACGGAGCTTGAAAATGAAGACAGTGCTCAACTTGTCCAACTTGAAATTCCGCTGCTCAAACTTGAACACAATTGAGAGGTGCGCAGCAGGGAGGATGACACCCGATAGCACACGGCGTGCATCTGCCTGTTGTATACGAATGATAAGAAGGCCAATATGAGCAGAAGACCCCGTTCGACTCGGGGTCGGGTGATACGTCTGTATCCATCACGCCTTTTGCCTTCAAGCTCTCCTTCAGGCGTCCACGCAGCTCACTTCCGCACTCCAAACCACTCACCGTCTAATTACCCACTACACCGCTCGCCGTGATACTGTGTCCAAGTTTAATTCCGGAATTCCAATCTTGGACTTCAACGTTCAACTCATTCAACCCGAGATGGAGTCACTGGGGTGAACCAAGCGATCTACCTCCCAACGCTCACCCCACCGTGTCCAGCACCTGGTTGCACACGGCATGCATCTGCTTCCCTTAAAAGAAAAGAAAAAGAGTCTCGGATACAGAAGACGGTGGCACACGGTCTATTGGTCAGTTGTTTATTCTCCTCAAGCTCTCTCTGAATCCATCCAAACGACATCACCCTATAAATGAATGCTCCAATTCTGTAGCCAATTTAGTCTCTGCCATCAAATATTCGGTGTATGTCATAAAAGTTGCGCGTCTCACAAGGAAAGAAGGAGGGGTATTAAAACCCGACAAAACATGGTGGGCATCTGCTTCTGAAAATTTATGTCAGTGCAGAAGGACCCCCAATCGACTCGTGGCCGGGTGATGCGGCGAGCGGGAGCGGTATTTTGATTCCTCTTCTTGGTCCTGTGCAAATGATCCAACCAAGCACGAAACCAGGAGCCATGGGATGAATCCCGCTCAAACATTATTTCCATCTCGATACCGTCTTGCAGCCGAAATGTAAACACACGGGAAATTGAGAGGTTTCTGGCCGCCCTGAAACGTTCCTGAAACTATTAGTTTCAGGAGCATGGTCACGTGAATTTCCATATAAGGCAATTCACGCGACCTTAGCGCCTGAAACTAATAGTTTCAGGAACGTTTCGGGGCGGCCCGAAACCTCCCAATCTTTGGTATGAAATCTTCGAGGGATTTGAGTATGTAAAGAAGTCGACTGTTGAAGGTCATGTGCACCGTGGGTCGGGTTTGCCAGTGTTTTGCGTTGAACTTGAAGAAATCCATACGAGGTGTACATATGTGTGTCTTCACAAAGGCAGAAACATTAGTTACTTTGTTTTGTTTTATTCGCGCAAGACAAGCATAGTAGGTGCAAAATGGGAACTGAACTCTGCATTCCCGGATGGGCGGAACCTTCAAGCTTTTGGGGATGGCCTCGGTCATACGGAAACACGTAGAACAGTCCACTGGAGGTTTCATTTTACCCATTCTATCTCTCCATTCCGCCAGAATGTATTGGAGTTGCCAATGACATGGGCTTTGTTGAACCCTGTCCGGAAGATGCTGATAAGATTCCCACGGTTGAATTCACGGCATGTGTGTGTTCGAATTTGGCAATGGATGGACTCAGCAGTTTTGTCCACGCCATGTGTGCCGCCTCATTCATTTTTTTTTTTTTACCTCGACTCACTCTGTTGAAACCAAGAACACACTCCAGATTTTTTCATTCAATCTCCACGGTTCAACTGGATAAGACTCAGGATAATATTAAATTTTAATCCAAAGTCCCGTTTCGGAACGTGTGCTAACAAATTTCTTGCTCGCCTCCCAGTATCTGTGGCTATGAAGTTTAACGGCATTTAACGAGGTGCACCCGATGGAGGGTAACCACCCAGTAGCACATGATATGTAAATGTATCTGCCGACCTTTGATCGTAAGAGTAAATGTGCGGAAGGTCCTTATTCGATTCGGGGTCGGCTGATATGGCGAGTATATTAGGGATTTTATTATTATTCCTTCTCTTGGTCCCGCCCACCCAAACTTCATTCACTCATACTGACCACCCAACCATGATGTTGAACCCGCGTCTAAATCAACTGAGCATGGCCCACTTCTGAAGGGCAGTAGTAAGACCCCCGGTAGCATGCGGCGTGGTCCTCTTCGTCTTTGACCCCTAATGACTGTGCAGGAAGTCTCCGTTCGACTCGGGGACGGGTGATATGACAGTTACTGGGCAAATGATTCAAGCAAGCACTCAAACTCCGCACGCTCGCATCCATCCATCATCTTATTAATCCTCACACACTGCTCCCCACGGTACCGTGTCGAATTTACTAAAACCAACCGCGATCTTTAACCCACATCTAACTCAGCTCAACACCCGTCAGCACACGGCGTGCACCTGCTTATTTTGAATCATAAGGACGGTTGTCAGTGCAGAAAGCCCCCGTTCAACTCGGGGTCGGGTGATTTCAAGTTTCTTATCCGCCTTTTTTCCTCGAGCACTCCTTTTCTTTTCCTCGTCCTCTTTCGACGCTTTGATTTGCTCCTGCTGCGGCGCAATGCCTCTTACCTCTCAATTTAGGTCGCACAACGTGGTTGTGCACCGTGTCCGCATCGAAACATGCGTATGTGTGTCTGAATTAACAAAAAGCCGTGCATCTCATAAGGAAGGATAGAGGGGTATTAACACCCGGTAGCACACAGTGTGCATCTGCTTCCACTGGCAGAATTCGGATTTCTGCAGAAGACCCCCGTTCAACTCGGGGTCGGGTGATGCCTGAAACTTTGGTCTGCTTTTTCAGTCCTTCCCTTGAAGTTGAACCGTCTCATACTGTATCCAGAATTCAACCGGGACCCTTGATTTACTTTTAATCTTCCACACCCACGGATATATTGAGGTGTAAGTGCAAAACAAAGAAATTCTAGGAAAAACTGGATATCGATCCGGTGGACACAATAGTATGTATGTCTACTGTAAGCGGTGAGGGGAATATAACACAGAAGTGCTATGAGCATTCAAATTGCAGCTCAGCGCCCGATTTCCACGCATGATAACGATCACACCCCGAGAATAAATCATATGCAGTCATTCCACGGTCCTTCCACCACATTTCAAAGAACTCCCATTCTTCAGCTTAAAAGGGATTTTGTCAATGAAACCAGGTTTGTATCCACCATGCATTTTTTTCTTCAGGCTCCTCTCCCGCCACAAAGCAGCCAAACTTCATCCACACCTGGCCCAATGAATCCCGGGACCATGTTGAATTTCCATTTTCCAACCACGATCTTCAACCCGGGGAAAAATTCCGAGTTGAGTATGACTCACGTCTAAACAGGAAGGTCAACACTTGGTAGCACGCAATGTACATCTGCCCTCTCTAATCAAATGGAGTATGCAGTTAGGCCCCCGTTCGACTCTGGGCTGGGTGATCGATCTTTGAGCAGTTCAACTTTTGTCCTGTTTTGTCTCTAGCAGCTTCTGTTTGTTATTCTACTCTTAAAGACCTGGACTCGACTTACTCAGACGGGAAATAAATCCCTCGTTGAATTTGCGACAAATGTTGAACCATGCTGCACATTGAACGAGGTGCGTAGCAGGGAGGATCACACCCGGTAACAGATGAGTGTATCCGCCTATCTTATGCGGACCGTACGGTAAAATGAGCAGAAGACCCTCGTTCGACTTGGGGTCGGGTGATATTATGTCGGCATAAGTCCGTTTTGTCCCTCTCTTTCCTGGTATCTTCTTGACTTTGTTGAACTGGGGCACCACTCGCTCAGATCGGAAATACATGTTGGACATGTACGAAATGTCTATCATCCAACTGCATTCCACCGACTCTGTAGGATCGGTTGAGCACTGTCTGAATTAAACAAGTCGTGCATCTAACAAGACAAAAATAAGAGGTATTTAACACCCGGTCGCACACGGTGTGCGTCTGCTTCCACTAATCACCCACTGTGGCTCTGCTGCAGAAGGCCCTCGCTCGACTCGGGGTCGGGCGATGCATTGTTAGGCCATATAACTTTTGATTCCGTCTTGGTCCCGCCCAACCGATTCAAGCAAGCGCCTCCATTCACTCACACTGACCACCCCCATGATATTGTAACCCTCAGACACCGCTCCTCTTGGTACCCTATTGAATTTCGAATTTCCAACCATAAACTTCAACTCGAGTCAGAATTAGTTGAGTATGACCTCAAACAGGAAGGAGAACACTCAGCAGCACATGATGTGCATTGACCATCCTGTACATAGTCATTTGTGCGCAGAAGACCCCCATTTGACTCGGGGCCAGGTGATCGTCGTAATGTGGATATCGCTTTTTGTTGGTCATCTTCGACCAAATTTTCCCAACCGATCCAGCCAAAGATCTAAACCTTCATTGGACACGCAAATTGCTCCTCGTGGTACCGTGTTGAATTTCGAATTTCCAAACTTGAACTTGAACTCGCGTCTAAATCACTGGGTATCATCCACATTCAAAGAGGAGGGTAACACCCGGTGACACACGGTGTGCATCTGCTGAGCCTAATAGGTGCTGCATGTACGCAGGAGGTCCCCGTTCGACTCGGGGTCGGGTGATTCGAGGTGTCCAATCCGGTTTAATTTTTGATGCCTCCTCTTCAACTTGTTCCCGCCCAAACGATCGAACCACGTAAGAAACCACGATCCATGAGTTAAATCATCACCAACATAGATACCTTGTTAATTTCCAATTTCAACTACGATGTTCAGCCTGTGTCTAAATCGGCTGAGTATCACCCACAACGAAGGAGAGGAGTAACACCCGGTAGCACATGGCGTGCATCTGCTGTGCCTAACGAAAGTTCCTTCTCCCCGTTCGACTCGGGGCCGGGTGATTCATCGAGACATTTGATCCTGTTTTTCTTTCTTCAGGCGAACCTAGCTCCCACCCAACAAGCAGTAAAACTTCATTCACACCGCTCCCCACAACTGTTTAATCCCGGTATCATGTTGAATTTCCGAAGCCCAATTTCCACCATGAAGTCTAATTGACCATCACACATATCTGCTGGGAGGAGTAGTAATACCTCGTAGCACACAGTGTGCATCTGCTTACTTTGACGGCCGGTGAGACACTACTAGTAGCCAGCAGGCCCCCGTTCGACTCGGGGTCGCGTGATACCCAGTTGTTGCCGATCCCAACTTTTGTCCCGGTTTCTTGTCTGATCTCTATGGGCGATGATATGGTGCGTCTGGCGCTAACCGTGAAATCCCGCTATTTTGCAAGTCCTAGGGCTATTCCGAGTCCTAGGGCTA